CTCCCAAGCATTCAAGGCTCCTCTCTCCTCTTCCCTTTGCTCCCAACTTTGATTCCTTAGGGATTTGAGTGAAAAGAGAGTGGATTGAGTGAGAGAATCATCTTGGCAAGCTTGAGCACTTGATTTCTTCATCAAGTTGGTTGGATTTGCGTCTATTACTCTTGGGGCTTTGCCCCTAGCCGGCTAGGCGTCACCCAAGACTTCCATATTGTGGAAGAGCCTTGGGAACTTTGTATTACCCTTGCTTTCTTAGTGGAAAACTCAAGTGACCTTTGTGGTTTCCTTGAGAGAGGCAAGGAGGTGGAAGAGACGTCGACCTTTGTGGTCACCTCAACAACGAGGACGTAGGAGCCCCTTTGTGGGGTTGTCGAACTTGGGATAAATCTTTATGTCCCGCGTGTTTTTTGTTATTGTGATTTGGGCTATCATATTCGTTCTTGGTTGTTTCTCTTCTCCCCAAAGCTCCTCTTTAGGATTGGACTCGATCTACGGAGTGGGAGCATTTTGGCATCAAGGGAGTGACTCTACGTGTCTACCTAACCACTTGGAAGTGGGGTTGTAAGAAATCTCGCACTCAAAGTTCATTTTAGCACTTGTAGTAAAATCCACGTAGGAGTTGGAACTCCCGGCTATTTGCGTCAGAACTTCCGGCTGTCGGAAGTTTCGGCTCAAACTGTCGGGACTTTCGACAGTTGCTGACATTTGACTTTAAGTTTGTGTAAAATTTTTAGATACACCTATTCAACCCCCCCTCTAGGCATTGCTTAGATCTTTTCATCGATCTAATTACTCATACATAAAAAAATAAACCATATACTGCAAAAGTATAGAATACGCAATATTCAAACTCACATGGAATTTCTTCTAGACTTTCTAATTGCCATTAATGCAAAATTCTTCAAATGCATTTTCTTCATAAATCCTAAATCATCATAAGTGTGTTATCCACCACCTTAATTCCATAATTATTCATCACATCAATTGAGTTAGTCTCCATTAAGCTAATTTCATATTAACTCACTCCCCCTGATCTTAGGTTGCTTGGCCTTAGACCAATCGTATTGCTTATGCTTACATTAAAAAGCAACATATTTATTACTTCAAAAAAACCTATTTTGGCATAAAATACTAGCTAACCAATTTGATTACAGGGGATTAAATTAGTAGCTACAAGCTACGAATATAGTTTCTATGCTAATATTGATGCAGGAGTGGAGATAGTTGCAGCTCAATGAGAGCACAACATAGTAATAAACATTCACGTGTAATGTGGAATGTTGGTATTCAATCCAACGTAATGGATAACACAAAATGCAAAGCTACAAGCTTGCTTGCAATCAGTGTAATTGTAGAGAAAATTAACTTTGCCAGAAGAGACGCGGCAAGGACTTCAAGTCCTAATACATGTACTTAGAGATAGATTTAGGAATGCTATGTCTATTAAATATATATTACCCATAATTTCTTATACCTTTATCAAAAATTCCTCCCCCTCATGCCATAATTACTTTGAGTAGTAATATGCTTCATGCATCATCTATGGGTATTCATTCCCAATGTTTCATAGAATCCAATCATGCTTCTAATATTAATTGGTTGTAGCATGAAATTCATATATTCAGTGTACAACAATATATTCAAGGTAGGACATAAACTTCTAGTTTTAGGGCTAAAGTATTAAATACTTAATTTTAGGATTATACAATTTATTGGCTAAATTAATCCTTCTAAGATTAGTTAATATGCCAGTATAGTCCAATTGTTCATGTGCTTTTAGGAAATTCAGTTTCTGCTCTATGTACATGGTAGTAGTGCACAAAGAACTGCAACCTTCATGGTTAACTGAGACTTCTCTGTGGATAAAATTAATGCAAAACTTATTTAGATAGGCAAAAATAGACAATTATTTATATGTGAAACATATAAATATAATTTATTCCATGAGAAGTTAACACATATTACTTCAAGTAAAAATTGCAACTAAGAATATTAAATGCTTCGTATTAAGGCCTGTTTGCTTGTCTGAATTCTGGAGGAATCTGGATGGTTTGGAGGAATGCTGAAGGAATTTGTGAGAGAAAAATACTGTTCCGGACGAAAAAATAAGCGGTTCAAGCCGGGTTTAAAGGCACACGAACGGGACCTTAGTCTTCAAGCTAATAAATAAATCATTAACTCTTCTATGTGTATATGAGAACCACTTAATTCAACGGAAATCAAAACTTAATGCACCACCTAATACTTCTAGATAGTAATTTTAAAAATAAAATAAGTCTGTAAGCACATGATTTAAGTTCTTCTTCTAGAGAAAACTTAAAAATTCTTATCCATTCTTATATGTCTTAGGTTCTATGCTTGACATTTAGCAGTTTCATGCATGCTTTGTTTCATAGTGGTGATATGTAATCATGATCCTTCTAGGAGTGTAACATATGCAAGTCATATATCCTGATTCGTAGAGCTGTCTAAAAATTCTAACTCAACTTCTATTTGAGTAATATCTAAAGATAAATTCAAATACTTCATGCATTACATTGCTCCTTGATATTCTATATACAAGAGATATTTCTTCAAGAATATATATTGATAAATCTTATTTACCATCTTGTCTTCTAGACATTCAATCCATAGCTTCAAGCTATTGTTTATAGATCAGCATTATACCTCAATCTTCTCATGTAGTGAGTCCCACAATGCATTTGTTATTTCTCTCGGCCATATACTCATTTTAGAGAATAATCAGGAAATATATATCCTGAATTCACTACACTTCAATGGTAGCAAAATATCCTACATGGATTTAATAATGACACTAACAAATAATTCTACTATTCAGGGAAGTCCAAGATATTCCTTCTTCATGAAGGCTATGCATATATAGTATATCATTATAACTGGAATCATCATGTGCGTATAGGTTTATTGCATGTAAACAAGTAGCAAGGTGCAGAAAGATAGTGGATGGTTATACAAAATATTCTTAGAAGCATCCTAGCTTTTTCGGGATTATGGTATATGCAAATTTTCAGAATTAGGACCAAGCATTCATGCATCCCAAAAATTCATTATTCTAGGAAAACAAATGAGCCTCTGAAAGGTGATAAGTTTAAGGTATGTAAGATTTAGAGAGCCTATATACCTTATACCATATTTCTAGAATCATTCTAGATTTTATTCTTACAATTACATGGCATATACTCCCTCCGTAAATAAAACGCAATCCTAGCTTTGAACCTGGACAAGGCGCTTGTCCAGATTCAAAGCTAGGATTACGCTTTTTTGGATGGAGGGAGTAATTCATAATGACATTGCATTAGCATTTTTTAGAACTAAATTTGAAGTGTAGAAAATTTTCATAATTAATCTACTATTTGATTTAAAAAAATTAAAGTTAGGCAAAACAACAATTAAACTGCAAATTTAATGTCGTATACAAACTCTTATACATACATGTATAAGAAAATACAGGTCTAGGGTTTATATTATTCAGAAAACTACTGTAAAAACTGAAAATTCTGAACGAACAACGTCGACATGCTGGCTGCAAGGTGTGGCGACATCCCAGCCGATGGCATGCGGACCATTAGCTACGGTGTGCAAGCTGCAAGCTTGCCGGCAAGATTCGCTCTGGGCCGTGCGTGGATAGAAACATGGATCTCATCGTGCAAGCTGAGATCATAGATGGTAACGACGGCATGCGGGCCATAGATGAGGCCCAACGGCTGGTGAGTGGCTTCCACGTACGAATAGCATCTAGGCTTAAGGTCGAGCGTTCTTTAAAGCTGATTGTGGCGGCATGCAGAGGCCGTGCAGCAGCGTCCTCATGTGGCACGATGTGCCTTAGCAACTTCAAGTAGCCGTATGTGCTGCAGGCAATGTTCGTGACCCGTGGGATCAACAGATCAGACGGCGTGCTGGCCGCAAGGCTACATACATCGAGGTTGGCATATGAGCCGCGTGGAGCAGCGATCTGGTGGCGTGCCGGCGGATGGCACCGGCTCCATGCAGTATGCAATTTGTGCATGCGGGCGAGGCCGCCTAGCATCTAGCAGCGTGCGGGCTGCTTTGGGGAGGCACGGTGGCTTGCAGTGATTCCACCGGTGTCGTGCAGGCCGCGGACCTGACTACGGGGTCCTGCCACTAACAGAAACAGTGACTTTGCCGTGTGGCACAGGCACTCGACAAAGACAAAACAAACACTCGATAAAGGCTTTGCCGAGTGTAACACTTGACAAACAGCACATGGCATCTACAGTGTCGGCAAACAGCTATTTACCGAGTGTTTTTTATCGCGTACTCAGCAAATGGTTTGCCGAGTGTCAAATTTGACACTCGGCAAAAAAAAGTGGTTTGCCGAGTGTTTTTCCAAAATACACTCGACAAAGGATTATTTTTTGCCAAGTGTTTTTGAAATTACACTCGGCAAACCTATTTTCCAAAGAAAAAAATATTTTTTTCTCCGCATATTGTTACTGTTTGCCGAGTGTTTTTTAAAATTACACTCGACAAACATATTTTCCAAAGAAAAAAATATTTTTTTCTTAGCATATACTACTGTTCCAGCTGACGTAAACATGCCAAGTCCTGTCTGCCAAATAATCCTCCGAAAACACAAGCAGGAGGCGCCGAGTTTGTTGGATCCAAATGCCAATTTCTCTCATGAGCAGAGGCACCAGCTGCACCGGCAGAAGCTGGGGTAGGAGCAGCTGCAGCAGCAGCCGCATCGCCACCACGGGCACCGACAGCACTAGGAGCAATCGAACCAGCAGCAGCCGCAGCAACAGCACCCGGTGTCGCTCCTCCACCGCTCCTCCTCCGTCGTCATCTCCATGAAGGCTGACACGGGGGGCTCGAGCTGCGGCGGCGGCTGCTGCTCGCGCTCCTTCTCCAGCGGCTGGTACAGCGCGCTGTTGACGACATCCTTCTTCCTCGGCGACGTCTCTGCCAGTCTGCATGCAGGTGATTGCTTAATTGGCACGGTCGTTGCCGACAAGACAAGATCAAGAACGGGCATCACGGGACAGTGCACTACATTGGGACGGCAGCTTGGAGTCCGCCGCCTCCGCCATGGCCTCGTAGTAGTAGAAGTCGAAGTGCGACCTGCTGCCGGGGTATAGGTCGCTGGCGCCCTGGATGCTGAAGAGCGACTTGTTGGACGCCATGCTCCACTCGGCCTGCGACACCGACGTCCTGTGCTGGAACATGTACTGAAGTCTGGACTGCCCAGAGTGCTCACAAACATAACACATAATCTTTATATGGTAAGACACATAGTTTAGAGAGCACAAATCATTTTAGTTTAATTGTAATACCATGAGAGTGTGAATAAAATGTGTGGAACTGAAAGAAAAAGTATAGTTCAGAGAGCACAAATCATTAGCCACACTCACCTACTACAACCATTTTATTTCTGGTTATAAAGTGCAGCAAAAGGTAACTCATTCTTAAACACACTCACCTAATACTACAATACTGCTGCAATTAAGCAGCAAATTAGTGAATGTCTAGAAGCAGATATACAAAAATGTAAATTACACCAATATCATCACGCCCAATTAAACAGCCCAGAGGTTGCATAAATTACAATTAAATAGTTCAAATGTACTGTAATCCATGTCCTTTCGATTAGGTGCAAGGTTAAATAGATGACAGTGTAGATATGCTAAGTTCAGTACAAAGAAATACTTCAAAACAGAGAATCGATCTAGAGAACTAGCAAGGTACAGAAGCAGTTCTACTGTCGACACACATGCATCCTATTTCAAAGCTAGGAAGGATTAAACAAGTATTTAATTCCAAGAATGTATGAACCGAGCACTAGAATAATTAATTAGAGCTGCAGGCAAACATGTCACAATTACTGGATGATTGGTCGGTGAAGCACAAAAGTAACAATTGACAGTTTGAGAACTGAAACTTGTTGCTTACCTGCTCAAACTGATGAATTCACAGCAAGGTGCTTATATTGCACAAGCACTGAATCCATGTCCAGCTGCTGCTCTGAATCCAAAGCATTGCAAACCTACACCCTGTGGCAAAAGAAAGAAGCCAGCCAAGTTGCCGATTGAAAATGGAATTAGCAAAAGCCTACTGCTGCGGAAAATCCAATTAATGTGAACTGCTGCTCCTGCTCTTGGTGCTGTGCGTGCACGGGTTCTGGATGAGCACTGATTGGTGCTTGGAAGCTGAGCACGGTCAACCAGAGGCGAGTGAGCTTCGGCGAGGACTGGACACTGCTGCGCCGAACTGCAAACAGAGGGAGGGAGCAGGCTCGGGTCTGCACGAGCACACAGGTTTTGACCGGTGAAGGCACCAGCGCCTGCGAGCTGCACCTGAGAATTACGAACTGGGATCGAGCGCAAGAAATAGACATGGGCGAGCGCCAAAAATTCGACGGGAACTCGACCAAAACAAAAGGATTCGTTCCCAAACTTTGCACAGGCAATCACCACAGAGTAGGTAAGCTATTCCCAAGAAATCATCGCTCAATTCGTGCTCAAACCCCAGAAAATCCAGATCACGTGCGAGAACTCGAAAAATCCCCAAAAACAAAATCGTGGTGCTCAAGTGAAGGATTTGTTAGGGGATCACCCTAGCCTTGATCACACATGTCCTAGCATCAAAATCCTTCAAGAAGTTTCACCCCAATCACAGCCAAAATCGACGAACCAAAAATCACTAAAAATACCTCCGAAAATCACACAAAAATAAAAACTTCAGTTTTGGAGAGGGGAACAAGTGGTGCACGAATTTGATCCTCGGATTATCTCAAGATATCGGATTACGAGCCACTTCAGTTTTGGCGGCCGGGGGCAGGGGGCGCCAGCGGCGGCCGGGGACGGGTGTGCCTATGCGCGTGTGCGACGCGGGTGGGTGTAAAGATGGCAACGGGGACCCGATCCCCGATTCCCCGCGGGAAATTCCTCTATTAGGGGACGGGATGTGCAAATATGCTCCCATGGGATCTAAGCGGGGAAAGCGTCCCCGTCGGGTTTGGCGGACGATTGCAGGTGCGACGCGCCTTCATTATATAGAGGCTTTGCTCTCTTCCGATCCCCGCCCGTTTATATAGAGGTGCTCTCTTTCCGATGTGCAACCAGCCCATGGCCCAATGTCTTTCGAGTATATATACAAAGAATAACCCTAGTTCTGCTTTGTGATGATTAATATCCGCTTCTTGCTATTTAGCTATTTTTGGATTGTGATTCGTGGTGTACTCTAATATTGTGTCGATGAACTCATGTGAATGATGATGAATTGCTGAATGGTGATGAACAAACGGGGATCGACGGCACTCGGCGGGGATGGGGAGAAATCGTCCCCGTGAGCTTTAAGCGAGGGACGGGGGGATTTTTTCTCCCTGGGGCCGGGATGGGAGGCAACGGCGGGAATTCCCGTTGCCATCTTTAGGTGGGTGCTTGGCGTGTGTTTATTTATTTTTGAGTTTTTTCGGCAAACCCTTTTCTTCTTTTTCATAACAAATTTAGTTTTTTTCTTTTTTTTTTAAATATTTTTTTTTTATTTCTATGTACTTTGAAAAAATCTTGCCAAATTCACTCAACAATATATATTTAATTTTTCTATAAATATTATTCTATTATTTAAAGTCGTTATAGGTCAAATTTAATTTATATCAATTAAAATTCTATAATTGCACTTAATAAATTAAAATGATCAAACGGATCAAAAAATTACCAAATTTTCACATGAAATAATCTATGTTCTCTATTACCTATACAAAAAGTTTTGAAGTCAAACCACAATTCGACTGTCACTTTGACTGCAAATCTTATCGAATCCTTCTCAACGCTACTATTCTTCTTCTAAGATGCTTTAGTTTATAAACATTGTACGTGACAAAAATGTGCGAAACCTTATCAATTTTTTACCACAGCCTCCACGTATGATATCATCATATCATGACAAATCTCATGATTTTCAAACTTTGTCTGGTTTTTTTAAATTTAAAAACCATCCGGCCACACGTTCGTGGTCGTGTTTACTAAACGAGATGTTCGAAATTTTCTTTTCATTTCCAAGGTAAGGCCTCACACTGAACTCAATAACATGACTATTATTTTTTTACTCATTTTATTCTATTATTTGAATCACTTGCAGTTCAAATTTGACTTAAACCAAAAAAATCCTTGAAATATAATAAATTAATTAAATATAGCAAACTGATTATAAAATATACCAAATTTTAACATGGAGTAGCACATGTTGTATGTGCAGAGTAGAAAAAGTTTTAAGGTCAGAAGAGAAAAAAACTTATTTCTTTGTCGAGTGCCAAAAAACACTCGACAAAGAGCTTGTTTGCCGAGTGCCAAAAAAAACACTCGGCAAACCCCGAGTGTGCTAGATCTGGCACTCGGCAAACCTTTTCTTTGCCGGATGTCAGAACTGAGGCACTCGACAAATTCAGTTTTTTTTATTTTTTTTCTTTTTCTTCTTTTTCATAACATATTTTTTAAAATTTATTTCGATGTACTTTGAAAAAACCTTGTCAAATTCAATCAACAATATATATTTAATTTTTCTACGAATATTATTCTATTATTTCATGTCGTTATAACTCAAATTTAATTTATATCAATTAAAATTCTATAATTGCACTTAATAAATTAAAATGATCAAACAGATCCAAAAAATTACCAAATTTTCACATGAAATAATCTATGTTCTCTATTGCCTATACAAAAAGTTTTAAAGTCAAACCACAATTCGACTATCACTTTGACTACAAATCTTACCGAATCCTTCTCAACCCTGCTATTCTTCTTCTAAGATGCTTCGGTTTATAAACATCGTACGTGACAAAACGTGTGAAACCTTATCAATTTTTTACCATAGCCTCCACGTATGATATCATCATATCATGACAAATCTCATGATTTTCAGACTTCGTTTTCTTTTTTTAGAATTTAAAAACCATTCGGCCACACGTTCATGGTCGTGTTTCCTAAATGAGATATTCGAAATTTCTTTTCATTTCCAAGGTAAGGCCTCACACTGGACTCAATAACATGACTATTATCTTTTTACTCATTTTATTCTATTATTTGAATCACTTGCAGTTTAAATTTGACTTAAACCAAAAAATTCCTTGAAATGCAATAAATTAATTAAATATAGCAAACTGATTCAAAAATATACCAAATTTTAACATGGAGTAACACATGTTGTATGTGCAGAGTAGAAAAAATTTTAAAGTCAGAAGAGAAAAAAAAACTTATTTCTTTGCCGAGTGCAAAAAAACACTCAGCAAAGAGCTTGTTTGCCGAGTGCAAAAAAAAAACACTCGGCAAACCTCTTATTTGCCGAGTGTTTTTTTTTTTTTTTGCACTCGGCAAACCCCTTCTTTGCTGAGTGTAATTATTTTGCCGAGTGTTTTTCGCATAGCACTCAGCAAAGAGCTTATTTGCCGAGTGCCCGAAGAATTACACTCGGCAAACCCCTTTGCACCCAGCAAATTGACTGTTTTCGGTAGTGTGCGCGTGCAAGCGCAATAGCTACTCGGGCTGGCCAATAAGTTTCTGATGCTTGCATGGCTTCAAACGTGAGCAATACCACATGACCATGCATGTACTCAGCCTTGGTGCTTTTCTTTCCTTTTTTTTAACCCTAGATTCAACTCATGTAGATGCAAAATTACATTCACGTACTTACTACATGTGCGTTTGTACTTCTTGTACAAATCTATGCGTACTGCATGTACGGCGGAAAAAAAAAAGATTGTCCAGCTCGATTACAGGGACAAACATAATATGCGAGATACGGTTCTTTCATACATAGTAGAGGATGCTAATTTGATCTACGTCACGTACCGCGTAGGGCAGTGGTTAGTAGATACATACCGCGTATGGCGTTTGGCATTGTCGTAGAACTACCTACTTAACAGCGACAATGCATATTAATATAGTGCAGATCGGTAGCAGGTAGAGGTAGCAGATCTGTTCCGCTAACAACGTCAAGATGCCGCGTCGTCGAAGTAGTCGAGGTGGTACGTCGACGCGAGCGTCGGCGTCAAAGATCTGCGGCGGCTTCAACGATGTTGACGTAGAGCTTGTCGTGCTGATAACGTGTTATAAAACATGTTGCTAATGGTAACAACCTTCTCCTCTCCGTCTCTCATAATCAGCACAGTAGATGAAAGTAGAAGAACAAATAGACATAAAATAGGAGACTATTCTATATTCCTCTTGAATATATGTAATTACAACATCGAACTTCTACGTATATATAGTCCTGCCAAGGTCTAAGAGTTCAATAACAGTCCACGTGCAAACAATGTAGAATTATGATTCCTCCTTTTTCTTTCCTTCTAGATAGAGTGCGAATATTTTACAACAATAACAACCCATCGACCAGACCAGACTAGGCCGGTCCACCAAGGCTCAAAGAGTGAAAGAGGTGCGTGAGGAGCAGAAGATTAGTAATGCACTAATGCTTGGGGAAAATCATTAAAAAAAGGAATGCATGGAAAAAGAAGAGGATACGTGAAATGAAAGGAAAGCAATCAAGCAAAACGTCCGTACCAACCTAGCTGGCTAGCTAGGTGCAATCCTCGTACATCACGGACTCGACGCAATTCCCCCTTTTACATTTGCCGCACCGCATTACCTGCAGGCAGCTACCCGAACATCATACGTAGGATTGTCTGTCTCGCTTGCTTGCACGGCATGCATGCATATATGCCTCACGCAACCACCAAGTTCTCTACAACGACACAGCTCATGCTCATCTGAATCTGATGCCAACCGCCAATATCAAGATGCAGCCTGCAGAGACAGAGCAGCTTCTGGTTGCTCTGGTACCAACAGCTCTTCTTCCAGCACCACGTAGGTAACTGCGGCGTGTCTCTTACAGCAAGAATGTGTGCTCGTGTCAGTTTGGGACGACTGCATGACAGGGGAATCAAATCGCAAGAAGAGGGCCTCCATTACCATTAATTGGGATGTAGCAAGGTGGCAACCCCTTTCTTTTCTTATCCTCCTATAAAAAAGATAAGAGAATAAGATGGCACCATTGATATTATACTACACTGCGTCTCATATCATGTGAGCAGTGAGGCAAAAGGTAGGAAAGAAATAAAGCGAGGCGCGAGGAAGAGATGCAAAGGCAGGGAAGCTCAAGAAAAGCAGCTGGACTCACTGCACGGAGGATGCCAGGATGGATGGAGTAAACTACTGTCTAGTGTCTACTACTGGTATTAAACCTGCTGCAACACCCAGTAAGTACTAGTGTATGGCCTCCCAACCAACCCAACTGTACTGTACTTCTATAGTCCTGCTCTCGTTATTACTTTCTGGCTGTATGCCTGTAAGGACAGGCCAGCAGGCAGTAACGCCAATGAGATCCATGTGAGTGCTGGTAGCAACCAGCACTGCAGCAGCTAGCTCACCCGTATGCATGCCTCCTTCTGGCTGCTGCTGCTCATACAAGCATACTCCTACAAGCGAAGCCCAGCCTCTCATCTTGCTGCAGCATGCAAAAAATCGAAACCACCTCTATGAGAAGCAAGGGTAAAAAAGGGCAGGCAACAACGTGCTTACATACATAAGTATCAGCCCCAGGCCTCCACACCCTCCTGTCAATCGCATCGCTTTGCTAGCTTCTTCACCACCACTTGCTTCTTTTAAACACAAGGTAAGGAAGCTTCATTGCCATTCCCTGCTGCAGATAGCTAGCACCATTCTGTTTCTGCAACTAAGCGGAGCGCTTGCTTCCAAGCTGCTTGGATCAGCCAGTATAGAGGGAACGGCAGAGAAGCCACCATGTCATCCGAGGAGGAAGTGGCAAAGATGGAGGGAATGGCACCAAGGAGGCGCTGCAGCAACCCAGGTCAAGGTGGTGTGCCTGTGACAGTGGTGTACTACCTGTGCCGCAGCGGACGGCACCTGGAGCACCCACACATGATGGAGATGCAGCTCGCCTCCCCAAATCAAGCCCTCTACCTCAGAGATGTGATCTACCGGCTGGACGCACTGCGAGGGAAGGGCATGGCCACCATGTATTCCTGGTCCTGCAAAAGGTAACTTAACCATCCAGATCATTTGCTTCCTTGCTTCTGGCAACTGACATATGCAATACAATTCAGGAAGTACAAGACCGGATTCGTGTGGCATGATGTGATGGAGGATGATATGCTGCTCCCCGCCCAGGAAAGCGAGTATGTCCTCAAGGGATCCCTCTTGCCCCTCCGCCACTCAAAACCACCTATAGTTGTAGCTGCACCACCACTAAAAGGTATGTTATATACATAATATATGCTCTGCATTGTGGCCAATTGCCACCTCTCAGTTAGTCAGCATGTATGGCCAAGCTGATCTTCTTGACTAACAAATTATTGGATTTACTTGCTTATTGCATGCCTCCATATTGTTTTCTCTTGCTTCAGATCATGACCAGCCGAATGTTGACACAACCATTATTCAAAAGGTCCCATGTGTCAAGCCGAATCCTGATGAAGAGTCACCAACTCATTCGCAAGAAGGCTGGACTGCTAATTCATCATCATCATCTCCTCCCATGGTTAAGGTCGACGTTGAGGATGAAGCACCACCTCTAGCTCTGCACCAAGGGTCACAGCCAGCACTATCATCAATATCACCATCATCTTGTTGCACCACTGGGGATGGAGATGAGGAGACAGCATCAGCACGTTCAAGCTGTTCAGGCAGCCACTCCTCTCCTAATAAGCCAACAACAAAAGGATCCTCAGGTGGCGCAAGCTCTCCCACTCCATATAGCCTTACGCTTCACAACAAGCAGAGGATGCCAGGGTGCAGCTCTGTCATCGCAGCAGCACAAGACTTGGCCACACAGACCCAAGGAACATCAACAGGGAGGGAGCTTCACAAGGACACTAGTTGCAGTACTGATAGCACACCAGCCAAGGAAACCATACCTACCAAGGACAAGCAACCAGGAAATGCAGGATCTTTCTCCTCTAGCAGAAGTGGTAGGAGTGGGACCTTGGAGTCCCTGATAAGGGCTGAGGCTCTTGGCAGAAGGGGTGCCACTGCTAAGAGGATCCTAGAAGAGGACGACGACAGGGAAGCAGTACAGTCATTGGCCACAAAGCTGAACCCTGCCAACCTGCTGATACGACTCGTGGCTTGTGGGACGACCATGTCTGCAAGGCAGCATTTCCCTGCCTGCGGTCTCATGCGAACAACGCACAAGCCCCAGTACTTGACCCAACATGTTGAGTTCCTGCCTTCATCTCCAGTCTTGTCTCCCCTTGGCACGCTCATCATGCGTCCTAGAAATGCTGATGGAGCCAGGGGAGTTTCAGACTCAAGAGACTGTGGCCATTGCAGAGGGAGACTGCTTGAAACCGCAGATAACAGGTGTGAATCAGGCAAAGTGATGTCCACCATTGTTAGGCCCTCCTCATATTGTGACCATAACAGGTAACTTTTCTACTTCCTTTTTCCTGTTCTTCACTATCCTTTCTGATGAACAACTAGCTCAATCTGATGCAAGTGAGAAACTTATGCCCATTCTTCTACCTCACTAGCTGATTGTCTTATAAACAAACAAATTCCATCATGCCCATCACAATCTCGATGCCTGTCTCCTTCAACATGATCTCTCTGTACAAAATTAGCTTTCTGCCTACAGTTCATCTACATAGAATGTAAACGTAGAAGGTACATGTTGCAGTGTTTCTGAGAAAGAAGTCTCCATAGCAAATTTGGATAATTTGGAGGACAGAAGTAAACTTACCCCAGAAAAAATCAGGGTGGCACCATTTCAGCAACCCACAAGTGGGACATTGGTAACCATAACCACAGATGTAGGTGGTGAACAAGAATCCAAGACATTGTCAAGAAGTACGAGCAAAAAGATGATCGATCCATCATCACGACCTTCAAGAGTAGTATCATTCCATGACGAAAGGGAGAAAGTGATCAAGATTGAAGAAAGGTGAGTAATACTTTCATGGATTGCAGTTTGTTCAGGAAACCAATATATATTTTTCTCTGCTTTCCCTTAGTGTAAGGAGTTAACCTTATTTTAATCATCGCAGGCTTACGTCTGGAGCTCGTGTCATAATCCAGTGTGCACCCTTAGTCAAAGAAACTTATATTAGTGCCAAAGCAGTGTAACAGAGGCAGCATCCTCATGTTTCCCCTCTATTTTTTCGTTCTTGATAGTTCAGCAGTTGTTAGAACTTAGAAGCGTGCAATTGTATTGGATCTCTGGCCAAGATAATAATAAGATGTCAATTTCTGTACCGTTGTGATCAATGTCTATTGTCACCAAAATACTGTGTTATGATATCAGGAAAACTGTTTACACTGGCACTGACACCGCAGCAGTAATAGCAGTGATTCAGTTTTCCCTTCATTCTCGTGCTGCTGTAAGAGTTTCCTCTTCCAATACGGCTAAGCAAAGCAGTCAGAAGCATTGTCAACTGCCATGCAGAACAGCCTGACATAAACGTCCATCACTGAGGAAGCTCATGACCTGGAAACTATTACTACGCCCTCCTTTTTTGCCAGAAACAGGATTGAGTACCTTGCCAACACCAATAAAGCCATATGGGGCAGCAAATTTCCCCCGAGGCTGTACTGTAGAGCAGAAATTATGCACACAGTTGATTGCGCTGCTGTTAGGTTTGAGTCATTGATACTATTATGCAGGTTATAGTCCATTGATATTACAAATTACTAGTAGTAGTTTGCATGTGCTGCAATTACTCCATCTCATCCTCTGGTACTTGTACATGCAAGCGCTTTCATTCTTCAGTTGTGCTTTACTTATTGTACCTGCTCATTGGTTCCTGTTTGTATCCAGATCTGCTGTGTACCGCTGTCAAGTAGTAAATATTTTTCCATCTTGTTTCCAATTCCTCCATCTCACCTTTTATTAATGGCTTTTCATCAAGTGCCTGGTTTTTTTTTTTTTTGAGTCAATTTTCTACCATCACAAATTTATGATTGATTCATCATTCTTGAACGAACTGAGAGAGTGCATGGTCCCACAAAAATCCACCATTGACCTGGCATGTTTCTTCATACAACAAACTGCTTCTGCATTACTGTAGTGTTATGACTGCCAAGCTCCCTTCCAGAATCCCCAGTGCTGCAGTTTCCCTTCTTCCATGGTAAACCCTGGCTGGTCCAAACAAGACAGATGAGTAGCCCATAGGCAGGTTCAGTGACCACCAAACAGTATTGAGTGTTTCACTCGATTACCAAACTCTTTGAAGCATACCTCAGCAAAATCCACAGAAACCCATTTCTGCAACAGTTATTGTATGGTGAGTAAGTTTAGTAGAAGCTCAATTTTCAAGCAATACTTTGTGTCATCAAGCAAAACTATATACATAAAAGAAGGGTCTGTTATAAGACATTTAGTAGTGTCTAACAGAAGCTGCCTATCGATTGCAAAGTTATGTCTATAACTCTATATCAAAACAAACTAGCATATAGCCGCTGGAAGACACATGCTCAACCATAGTTGCCCATACCCTACCATATTTACTCTAGCAGGTAGGCAGCTAATAGTGGTAAACACGAAATATGCAAGTCATAATGTAACATACCTTATACCTGAAAGGCACATGGAAAGAAATTCATGGTCAGAGAATGTTCCATAGAATGAAATGCATGCAAGTAGTTTAGTACTGAGACATCACAGCAGATCTTTCTGTTTCTTAGCTTATCAGTTATCAGTGTCGGGCTGATGGTAAAGCAAACAGCGAAATCTTTGCATGAACTTAAGCAATGCTCCCTCCACCCCAAGTGGATCAACTCCAGATTGTCCAAATGAAATATTTCAGTTTCCAGCACTAAAGTAATACTCCCTCCACTCCAAAGTACATGGACTTTTGAGTTTGACCTAAGTCAAACTACCTTAAGCTTAACCAAGTTTATAGAAACAAACAATAATATTACAATTCCAAAAAGCACAATGTACAAATAGGTCCATTATGAAATAGATTTTCATATTTGACTGTTTTGATGTGATAGATGTTAGAGAGTCTCTAGATGTTAATACACTTCTCTATAGATTTGGTCAAAACTAGAATAGTTTGATTTTACGATAAACTCATAAGTCATTATATTTTGAAGGAGTGTAAGGAAGGCATATAACTTTAGCTAGCAAGCAAATGCTCACACAGGGATCCTTATTTCATATACATAACAGGATTTCGTTCTCAGAAACAGGATTCAGAACTGTACTTCTGCTGGTGCATCACTCAAAGCTCAACGACAGAGATGCCCAGCAGCCAAAACACCCATGCAAATAAAACAAAAATGATAACCATATGTTTAAGTGTAGTGGAAAACCCCTAGGAAAGGATAGAGATTATGAAATGAATTAAATAGCAAAATAAACATTACAAATCCTTCTTACATAACTGAGCAGCAACCAGTGTTAAGAAACTGGTAAATTAAATGGAACCGGTGCTATCAGAAGCACAAAACTATACATATATTGATGGTTACCAAAATTTCCACAGAAGTGATAGTGGCTAGCAAAATAAATCCCATACAGATGAGTCTGAGAACTAAATTCAGATATAGTGAGGTTTACAAGACTAGCTTGACAAAAGCACGCTTGTGCTTTTCAACAATTTCTCTAGGATGTATCAACAAACAACCAATTATCTAGGTGAGAGAAGAAAACAAATCACCGGAGCACCTCCACCTTCTTCTTCCCCTTGAGGAAGACCTCTCTATCAACAACCTCACGCATGTACCCATCAAACTCCACAGGAACACCGCCATTGAGCCTCTTCATCTCCAAGAACCACTTGCTGTCTGTCCCCCACAGGTCCTCAAATTCATCCAGATAATGTATAATGCGCTTTGCCTTAAGTGACTCCAGCAATGCACTGTTGACCCCCTCCCCCGCAACATACACCTGCCGCCCTCCACCAAGAACTTCCTCGACCCTCTGTCTGAGGTCCTCACCCTTGGCATTCATATGGACCGAATCAAAGGCTGGTTGCATCCTTGAGATGATATCATCAACAATGTGCATCAAGCTTGGTGCCCAGCGCATCACCGAGCGCGATGGGCCTAGCAAATGCTTTGCCTCACCCTCACAGACATTGTACCAGTAGTTCCCTGGCTCGACGTCTCCGAATTTCCTGACGATGAGGGTGTCCCTCACCTTGGAGGACTTTATAGGTGCAAGCCTGGTGTCCTCAATGAGGCGTGCCCGGAGTTGGCCCTGCACCCCCCAACTGTCCCAGTCCGCCCAGAACTGTCTCTCCTCAATGATGGGGACCTGGGATTGTAGGTGCTCAACGTCGATGTAGAAGGCAAGGCGCTTGCCTTCCTCAGGCATTCCCCCCGTCCCGGGGGCGGCATAGGAGGCAGCGAGGCAGAGTGTGAGATCGAGGATGAGGGTGCGGTTTAGGTAGCGAGCCTCGGCGAGGGCGCAGAGGAGGCTGCGCAGGTAGTGTGGCATGGGCTTGCAGCGGTCGCCGCCGCCGAGGTAAGCGAGGTACGCGCCCTGGATGAACTGGGAGCGGGAGAGCGCAGGCGGTGGCGGAGTGGCGATGGTGGCATTAGTGGCGCCGCGGCGGGGCTTGCGAGCGTTGGGGCCGGAATGGTAATCGCCGATTGAGAGGACGGAATAGGCGCATGTGTGGGGGTCGCGGGCGATGGCGAAGCGGCGGTAGTCCTTGGTAGTGGCCTTGGAGGCGGAATCGGAGTCTGAGCGGGCGCGCCAGGCCATGTCGCAAGAGGAGGATGGGGGATCACCGGAGACGGGGCGGCCGAAGCGAGCAAAATGGACGGCCGGGAAGGCTTCGATGGCGCTGCGCATCATGAGATGGAACAGGCGCGGGTCGGCGCAGTCGAGCGGGGAGGTAGGATCGCAGGTTTGCTCCTGAGGCTTCTGGTTGGTGAGGGTGTCGGCGACGTGTGGGGAGGTGGAGAGGGGGAGGCGGAGGAGCGTGACGAGGAGGACGACGACTAGGAGGAGGGCGGTTGCAGCGTGGACGGAAGAGGAGAGGAAGGCGCCGCGCCGAAGCAGAGGGCGGCTCGGATCCATCGCGGTCACCCACGCACCGCGACGGCGGCGAGACGAGATTTCGCTTTCTCTAGGTAGCGTTTGGTTAGGAGGACAGACGAGGACGGGTGGTGGGGCAATTGGGCGATGAGCCCGACGCCGGACAGACGAGATTTTGCATTCCGTCCATATTTGGTTGGCTTTTCACGGTTTATCAGCCTTGACCCTCGAGATTTTTTTTTTAATTTTAACCTTTTTACGAAACTAATTTTAAATCTAACACGTCCGATTTTTTTTAAAAAAACTAATATTTTTGGCCGCGCCTATTGTCCTGGCGTGGCCAAATGCCTGGCTGGTGGCGCGGCACAGGGTTGACGTGGCGACGACCAGGAGCGATGACCGCTGACGGGGCAGGGCCTGCCACGCCAAGGGTCATGGCGCGGCTAGGCCAAATAAAACCCCGCAGCCAGTCATGCCAGCCCGAGCAGCAAGCCTGCCTGCCGCGCCCGCCGCCAACCCGGCGGTACCTGGACGGTTTAATCGGAATGTGTCGCACAGATGGTGAGAGTTGTTGTAAGTATTGTTTGACGTAAAATGAATAGTGAATTTGTTTCTATATTTTGTTAAATTTTTCAAGGCCGAATAGAGAAATTGATAAGGCAATTGATATTTTTTCCGTCTTTCATAATACGGTTAAACACCATGTTAACTAATCGATTACGAAAAATTGGATCGGATTGAAACGAATATTTTTTGAAAGCCGTTTTTCGAACTAGTTGCTACTTAATCTCGTAAGCAGTGATATCGCGACGCATTGAAATGAATATGAAGCAAATAACATAAGTTGACAAGCTGCCACATAAGTTTGACTTAAGTTCGATATAACATAACCAAATAAGCCTGCAAGTTTCGGACCCCAATAATAGTTCGACCTAACAAACTAAGACCCAGGAGTGTAAGGATTCCTCGGACGCCTGTCTCTTTGGATTTGTTGGCAACACATTGGGAGTGTAGCCAACGTCGGTGCGGTCGTGTCGCCGGTGCGTATGGCTCGTACCCTGCAAGTACGTGATATGCACGATTACTTAGAATTCTTTGTTATCGTTAGTTTATGTAGCCTACGTATTTAAAGAAACTACCTTTGTTAGTACCTGTGATGCTCCTTGGGTGCCAAGCGGGGCACCACCTAGCTGAGACATGCCGATCTCGTCCTGCGGCCAATCTTCCCACTCATCGTCGTCGTCCTCGATTGCAGGGTCTTTCCCAGCGCTATAATGTGGTGGTGTACGCACTGCGGAAGTGGCACCTGTCACCACCTGAGAAGAGCCGACTGGCGTCCTCAAAGAGGCTGAAGACGTACCACCCGACTGCGCTGGGAGTGGCGGTTCCTCATAAGGAGTGTCCATGCAACTCAACTTTTGAGCTAGCTTCATGCAGCTCTTCTTCACCTTCTGCATAAATAGACGTTAAAGTTAGTTCATTACCCAAACGCATATACACTAAAGAAACATTTTCGAAACGGACAAGTTTATGTTTATCTCCACAAAAACCGCGAGAACGCCTGGCCCCTGCCCTCTAGACTCGTGAAGCCGGAACGCTGCTTCGTTGGACAGCCTTGACAATTGTGTCGTCTGGGTACAGAAACGCGGTTTGACAGTTTTAGTACACATACTTAATACCGAAAGGATAACAAATTGTATCATTCAAGTATATTACCACGTATCTTTGAAGCAGGGCTCTCTGTAGCTATGTGTCCTCCCTAGTGGCAACGTCGTACACATCTTCGATCATATCTTCCTCCGAGTCCTCGTCAATCGCCTCCTTAGTGTACGGGGGCTTGATATGTGTCCTCGTAGACCTGTGAAGCCAGCACAGGTACTTGTCGAAGGTGTGCTGGTTGTGTGGAGGACCCACATGGACCGGCTACCGTTCCCTGGTCTCCCACAAGTGGATGTACGCGCTGTGTGTCACGCGTCAATCATTGGTCTTGTACCTCTTCCTGCGGTCAAACCTGCAACAAAACGATGTTAGTTCTACCACACACACCTCTGGATTGTAGCTCTGTTATTAATAGGTAACGTACCCGTGCAATACTTGGTTGGTGGAGTAAAGCGGTGGTGGGCAGCCTGTCATTCTTTCAAACTGTCTGCAGACCCTGGCGAGGAAGTG